AGTACTTTAAAGTGTATAAATAAGTTACCCGGGCAATTGATTTACATCAGCCAATCAAACGAATTTCTGTCTATGAACAGGAGATCCCAAAAATTCCGGGTCGGAAGCTTCGGAACTCGGGTTGGAAGGGCCGGTCGATCAATTTTGCTCCAAGATCACTAAGAATTTTACTAATGAAACAAAAGTTGTTCATTAAGTGAAAAGTGCCCAGCTGATAGTTTTACTATAGTCTATAGCTCACGCTAACCCTAACCAAGTCTTAACCCCGACCCTAACCACGACGCATTACGACCCGGAAATTTGGGGATCCCCCTGTAGAAAATAGTGAATGGTGCTATGACTTCAAAAAGCCTCAGCTAAACCGGCTTTGACAGTAAATCCATATTTGGTTAGTTCAATTCCGAAGGACAATAATAAAAAAAAAGCATTGATCGTCATTGAGACAAAAACCTGTTAAAGCAATAAAAAATACAGGTTGAACGTTCGTTATGGTTAAACAAATCTCTTACTATATATATAAATATAGTGCAATGTGATGCAATATCGTGAAGTTTAAGTGCAGAATTTCACGTTTCATTGCATTTAATGCATTGTCCAGTCAGTTACATCACTAAAAATGCTTATAAACCATACACTACGTGATATGCATCACTCCGTTCCTGGTATGATCATATGAGTTTGCCGGATAACATGTGTATAATCTAGATAATCTAGATTAATTTTAATTCAGTAAGGCTGCTTATTTTTACACATATACATGGAACGTCTTTTAGTCTTATGCTAAATTTAAAAAAAAGATTGAAACCTTCACGTACTGTACATAAGATGTAAGATGAGAAATCAGAATGCATTTATGCTTTAAACCATGTCATTATGATTTGGTATCAAAAAATTTATATAACTTTAAATATCTTATCCTTTAATTAAATGATATTAATATTATAACCCATAAAATAGCAAACTTAATGCTTCTTCGACTTTTAAATTTTTTCTTATTTTATTTTTTAATGAAAATATTGAAGATTAAACTTGGGTTGTTCTTAAATTTTTTCGAATTATCTTGTGACATGAATTTTTAGCCAATAAGAATTAGGATATTTGAGTATGACCCGATCAGGGCTGAAATTTTCATATATGGTTACACAAAAGAATAAAAAGGTTAAAGCTACTCATCATTGATACCCTTGTCTCACATATTGCAAACTAATATCCCAATCCCAACATGTCGAAAGAAAAAATTGGTTTAAATATTAGAGGCATAAAGGTATATAGCGTAATAATAAGTTTTAAGTTGCTTTTTTACTTATATATGTTGTACATATTATACTTTTGCGTAATATATAGTATGAAACTCTTCGGTCGACACTCATTTCTCAGCCAGAAACATTACTTGGAACAATGGTTCAAGAACAAAATGAATATATTAATAATTCAGTCAATGGAAATGAATATTTTTTTGACCGTAATGGTGAAGCATTTTACTATATAATGGAATTTTACCGGACTGGGAAGCTTTTATGGCCCACTGAAACTACTATTCCTTTATGGCCCAATGAATCTAATGGGTCTCAAGTCACTTATCAACAGCTTATAGAAGAACTTGATTATTTTCGAATTAATAAATCGAAAGTATTTTCTTCATTGGCATCGGAAACTGTTAAAAGTAAAATTGATCGATTCATTTCAAGCCTTGAACAATCAATCATTAGAAGCTTTGTAAGCTTTGACAATAATATTTCTTTATCAATTATGGATAACAATGAATTAGGTGGATATGATATCTTGAGTAATATGGAAGAACAGATTGAAAAACACTTAGTTGAAACTTTTTCTGAATTAGAGTTAAAATGGAAAAGTCAAAGAATATACGTGCATGGTCGAAATTACCAAAATGATCATTCATCTTTTAAGATAGATATCACTTTTTCTTCGATTAAAAAGTTATTAGAATCTGAGAGTGCTCAAGCCTATATCAAATTAATCCAAGACCCAATCAACACATCAGAAGAAAAGATTATTTTAAATGTTGGAGGTAAAAAGGTAAATAAAGTATAAGAATGATTTTTTAGTTGCTCTTTACTGAAGTTGTTGTTTATATATGTATATTATTTGTAAAAATTTTTTAATACCTAGTATGAAACCTTTCAATCAATACTTATAACACAACCAGAAACATTACTTGGAACGATGTTTCAAGATCGAAATAAATGCATGCGACATCCAATTAATGAAAACGAATATTTTTTTGATCGTAATAGTGAAGCGTTTTATTATATAATGGAATTTTATCGAACTGGAAAGCTTAGTTGGCCTACTGAATCTGGAAAAGTTACTTGTAAACAACTTGAAGAAGAATTTGATTACTTTCAAATTCCTTTTAATAAGTCGGCAGTGATTTATTCATCAGCTTTAGAAACAATTAGAAATAATGTTAACCGTCTTACTTTAGCATTTGAAGAATTAGTCATTCGATGTTGTAATTATCTTAGAAATTATATTAAATTAGAAATTGAACGCAATGGCCAGATTCATATAATTGAGTCAAATAAAAGACGTTATTATTATTTAGAAAATTTACAAACGTTTTGTGATTCTAAATTTAGGCATCGTTATCCTACTATAGATAATATGGAAAACCAAATCGGTGATCATTTGGTTAAAACATTTTCTGATTTAGAACTAAAATGGGAATTCAGTCGAGCTCATGATCATTTAAAAAGCTTTATTACTATCTCTTTTTCATTTAATAATCTTTATAAAAACTTTAAATGAAAAAATTGTTATGTATATTAAGTGTTGCATTACTTAATATATTAATACAAAGATTCATTGTGAATAAAAAATTTAATTATTTAGTGCTAGTTTTTTTTTTTAACTGGACTGTAATCAATTTTAATACTTTTAAAACCATATGGGATTGAGTCAATAGAAACCAAGCAAATATTTTTTAGTAAGTTTTTTTAAAATTTTAAACAATAACTTAACAAAAACTTGATCAATTCAATAAAAATTTCTACTTGTACTGTATTAACTACGACGATATGCGTAGATCCTTTTAGGAATAAACTTTATACTTACAAATTGGTAATTTAACACGTAAGAGAAAAGTAGAAATAATAAAGAATTCTATTGTACTGTACTATGATGTTATTTTTTGATCTTTTAAAATAATCTCTAAACTTACAAACTAGTAATTTAGCACGTAAGAGAAAGGATAGAAGGCAATAATTATAAAGAATTCTATTAGAATGACTACGATGTTATGTATGGAAAAACTCTATACTTACTCCCTGGCAGTGTTCCGAATCGAGCCGGCTCAATTAGGCTCGTCGGAATTTGGGGTTGGCTCGATTTTGGCTTGAAAGGCTTGTGAGCCGGTAGTACAAATTACGTAATACAATTTCCACTTTTAAAACATCATACGATATTTTCTTTTATTTCCGCTATTAATGATTAATAGCAGAGATAGAAGAAATTATCGTATGATGTCTAATAGTGGAAATTGTATTACGTAATTTGTACTACCGGCTCACAAGCCTTTCAAGCCAAAATCGAGCCAACCCCAAATTCCGACGAGCCTAATTGAGCCGGCTCGATTCGGAACACTGCTCCCTGGTAATTTAATACGTAAGAAAATAATAGAAAAGCATAATTAATGAAGAACTCTACTGGTGTACTGTACAGTATTGACTATGATGTTATGTGTGAATCTTTCTAATAATAAACCCTACTTACAAACTGGTCATTTAACACGTAAGAGAAAGAATAGAAAATTAATAATTAATGAAGAACTCTGCCAGTCTACTGTATTGACTACGATGTTATGTGTAGATTTTTTAAAAGTAAATTATATACTTACTAGCTGGTAATTTCAACACGTAAGAGAAAGAGCAGAAAAGCAATAATTAATAAAGAACTGTACTAGTGTACTGTATTGACTACGATGTTATTTATAGATCTTTTTAAGAAAACTCTATACTCACTCCCTGGTAATTTAACACATAAGATAAAGAGAAGAAAAAAATTATGGCTATTTGTGATCTTTTTAGAAATAAAATCTATACTTACAAACTAGTAATTTAACACGTAAGAAAAAAAATAGAAAGTAATAATTAATGAAGAACTCTACTAGTGTACTGTATTTATGCGTAGATTTTTTTAAGAATAAATACTATACTTACGAACTGGTAATTTAATACGTAAGAGAAAGAATAGGAAAGTAAACTTTATACTTATGAACTGGTAATTTAATACGTAAGAGAAAGAATTGAAAGTAATAATTAATGAAGAGCTCTCTTGTGTACTGTATTACTAAGATGCTATGAGTGGATCGTTTTTTAAGAAAAATTCTATATTTACCACCTATAAATCTCACCACGGGCTTTTAATGCCCATTCATTATTTTTCATTGATTTCTAATATTCTTCCAATATCAGTTTGTGATTCATCATATTTATTTAGTATAAGATATGTTTCTCCACGATATCTTAGTGCAAATGAATTATTTGGTTTAATTTCTAGCAGTCTTGTTAAGATTTCAAGTGCTTTTTCATATTCGCCCATAATAAAATATGCCTTTCCGCAATATCTTAGCGCATATGTATCATTTTGTCTGATTTCAAATGAATTTAAGTCTTTAAATATATCTGTATGACGATAATTGCATTGATTAAGTGTTTTGATCCATTTTCTTTCAATAATATATCACTAATACCATCATAAGTCATTGCTGTTAATATAAATAATATTAAATAATAATGAATAGGTGTATAAATCCATTTTTAAATTAGTTATATGTAAAATATTGTGCAAAAATACCTGCATATTTGAATTTTTCATGTCCAAAATTTGCTTTTATAGATGCGCTTTGTTATTTATTCCAATACAAGGATAAAATTAAGTTCGCGATTATTTAATGTCTGCACTGTTATCTATTTTCTTGAATCTTGTGAATGACGATCCTTAAAATCTCGTAATGCAATCCCTTTAAAATTTGTAAAATATCGAACTTATAACTTAGGAAAAATAAAATTAGGTAATAATACAGTAATGATAATTACCTAGATGCAAGCCATTCTTGGTATAAAATGCAGTATCATTACTAAAGTTTAAACAGCACCCAATGGCATCACCAGTTTTAAAACTAGGCCCATACGGCTCATCTAAGGTTGAACAATCAAAAAAATTCCCATCATCGCTATTATATCCCCATGAATTATTTTCACACCCTATTAACATCCGATAATTACTAAGAGTATTGAAAATATATTTGATTGGCTGATTTGAAGATTAATAGGACAGTGGTGAATTTTGTCTTAAAGTGTAGTTTTCGATTGTGTTATATCACCTCTTTTCCGGAGCGTTTTTGGATATATAATTCTGGTGACGATATAGCTCAATATACAAACCATATAAAAAAAGGAATTTATTCTGCTAAAAAACGGGATTTACCTCAAGTATGACTGTAATTTTCAGTTGGTACAAGATTATACCGAGGCAATGTACCGGCCGAATTTTGAAAACTGTATTCTTTGTTACCGAAAACTGCCTGTAATTCGATAGTTATAATTGTTATGCGTCGATAGTTGATTCCGTCATTCAGGGACCGACATATGTTATTAGTTGATCCGCTAATAACCCAAGTTATTGATAGAATATGTTATCGGACTTATTATTATAAATGATTAATTAATGATGTAAAGAATATTTTAATTATGCATCAGTAAAATATCAGTAAAGCAAAAATAAATCAAGAAATAAATAAATTGATGTTCGTTAAATAATGTTATTATCATTACTTTTATAAATTACCTTTTCTTTAATATCATGGAATTACAAACATATAATTTTCTATCTCGTGAATCCTTTGACAGAATATTAGAAACACATATTAGCAAGAGAAAAATTAATCGAAGCTTAATGGATATTAACCGCTATAATGAATGTTTAAATGTTTTAAAAAATCCTGACTTTCAGCTTGACTCAAAGCTTAAATACTGGATTACTAATACTTTTAAAGTACTTCGTATTGGTACAACAGAAGAGCTCCATTTACTTAAACGGGATGAGCATAATTTGGGAACACAAGCTTGCCTGATTGAAAATTTTTACAAAGTAATCTGTGCTGCACATCAGGCAACAGAGCATGGAGGCCAAGAAAAAACTTGGAAAAAAGTATTTAATTATTTAATTTAAACTTAAGTAATTAATATAAAAAATTATATTAATATATTTTTAAGATCCAGGTTAGGTTTTGCTATATTCCACAACAAATAGTTGAAGATGCAATTCGTGAGTGTAAAGTATGTATTACAAGACGAACACCTAAAAGAGTTCCACCAATGCGGCCAATTGTTTTTGAAGGCTTTTTAAACCATGTTCAGGTGTGTGTATAAATATAAGTTTTAATAATAATTTATAGTTGAATTATTAAATAAATAATTATAAGATGGATACAATTAATATGACATCAATGCCTGACGGAAAATTTAAATATATATTTCATATAAGAGATTACTTTACTCGTTTTTCTTATACAGAACCTGCAGAATCAAAATCAGCTGATGAAGCTGCTATAGCATTATTCAATTTTTGTTTAATTTATGAACCACCTGCTATTCTCCATACTGACAATGTAGAAGAATTTATTGGAGCAATATTTAAAGAAACTATGAATCTTTGGCCAAATATTAAGATGGTTAATGGCTGACCTAGATATCCACAATATCAGGGCCTTGTTGAAAAAGGCAATGATATTCTTCAAATGAAATTAGGATCTTAGATGGAGAAAACATCTAGAGGTGATTGGTGTGTTGGTTTGAAATATGTAATTTGTAAGCATCTATTATTTATAAATTTTACCTTATTTATTTATTTTAATTATTTTATAGAGGCTATAAATAATCAATATTGTTCTGTGCATAAGATGACACCTTATAATATAGTATTTGGACAATTACCTCATTGTGAAACCAATATAGTAGATATTTTAATAAATGATCATTATGATCAAGAAGAATTAGCCAATACTTCAGCATTTAATACTTCAGCATCCAATATTTTAGTATCTAATACTTCAGCATCTAATACTTCAGCATCTAATACTTCAGCATTTAATACTTCAGCAATTTTAGAAACCAATAATAATAATGAGTTATATAATGATTTATCTAATATTTTAGATATTTATTATAGTCAAGATAGTCTATATAATGATAATTATAATCAAATTGGGCTATATGAACATAATCTAAATAATTTATTTTTAGAAGATTTTGAATCTAGGCTTAATTTAGAAGGCTCTGAAGATTATTATTTAGAAGATTCTACTATACCAGATAATTATTAATCTAAGAATTTAAAAACTCATAAAGCTCAATTTAAAATTATTGAAATAGATAATGATTTGATAGAATTGAATAATGATATAGTGAATTTACAAGAGATTATCATAATTAGTGATTCAGAAAGTCAGTCTTATACAACTCAAGAAAAACAAAAATAGAGAGAATCTAATGTAAAACTACAAAAAACAACATCAAATTCAACTTATCCTACATTTGAACAATATAATAAAATTCATCAAGCTGCTATTTCAAATATTAAGAAAAATCGTGAAATTATTAAAAGTACAATGGAAATAAAATATGAACCTAAACGAAATCAGGAATATGATCCTGGTGAATTTGTGAAAATTTGTGTTCCTAATATAGATAAAGTGAAGATGCATAGAAGATCGGTACCTTGTAAAATTATTCAAAAAAACCTAATTGAGATTCCTATCAAGTAGCTTGCAAGTTCAGAATACTTGATGACTGGTATCCAGCATGTGAGCTTGAACTATTAGGTACACCTGATTATTCTGATCTTGATGTTGTTTTACTAAATAAAACACTTTCATTGAGGCAAGCAAGTCTTAAACAAAATTATACACTTGCTGCTCAACCTTCAAGCTCAAAACAAGTTAATCAAGAAATTAATGAAAGTTTGAATTTATCAGAGTATGAACTTATTAGTATCAATTTTTCATTTAGTACTAATTAATAGAATTTTTTATTAGCAGTAATGATTTTTTTATAAAAGAAACTATATCCAAAAAAAACAACAATGGTTGTAATTGTCGCAAGACTAATTGTGAAACAAAAACATGCTCCTGCCAAAAAATACATTATTATGTTCAAGGAAATGTGGCTGTGTTTTGTGTGGCCAATGCAAGAATCAACAACGATAGTTATTTGTACTAAAATTTTTTTTTCAAAAAAAATAAACATAGAAATGCTCTTATTTTTCATAGAATAGCATTATATTTAGCATAGAATTCAGTATTCAATACACTATTATTATTGTTTTATACTAGACAGAGAAGCTATATTAATGTTTAGATAGCAGCGATATATTTTTTAAAAGAATGCTTTTAATATTTGTGTATTTGTGCTAATCAGTAAAATTCAAAATACAACATATGTTATTCTTAGATTCACAAATGACACATGTCAATCCTGGATTGACGGGAATCAATAAATGACATATAACATAATTACTAAATTTGCCAACGATTATCACAAACAGTGTTATAAATTCAAAAAATTTTTATTGGTGCAAGCACATATTATATATGAACAATATGCGTGCAAACTTTAATATATGGGTTAGGTGCTAAGAAAAAGGCCTAAATTGACAAAAAAAAAGATCTTTAGAAAATTAATTTTTATATTATAACAAGTCATACACCTGCTCATGCACTGGGAGTTTGTTTTTAATATTTCTTGTTAAGGTTTATTGGTTGACAAGAATGTTCTTTCGTACAAACTAATCGTGC